CCTCCTGCCTGTGCACCTGGAGCCAGGCCCCGTGACGCGGAGTCTCCCAAGACGGCGGTCCGAAGCGCAGGCTCGGAGCCGGAGGAAGTCACTCCCGTAGATACGAGACATGCGTGCACAGATGGGGGTCAAACTGGAGCTCTCTGCTCTCTGGGATTATGGCTCAAATCTGCCACCATTTAAGGAGGCGGTCACTGGGCGAGAGGAACTCCGAGAAGGGAGGGGTCGCCCGTGGGAGCCGCTTCTCTGGAACAGGCGGTGTTTGAATCGTCCGTCGCCCTCGCCACCCCAGGTTACATTTCCAGCCTAAGGAACTCCAGAGCCACAAGCGATTTGATGCCCTGCAAGAATTTGTTTAGGAATTGAACCAAGTGTCAGACATTAACTCTATGTCACCCACTGGTTAAGGAATAGGAGTCAGGAACAGAAGAAACAACTTGTGCCACTGAAGAACTAGGAGAGAGGTTGACTTAAACATTACAGTGTGTGTGTAGGTCATGCTGTCCGGTAGAGGGGAGACTAGCTGGGAGGAGCAGATGCCTGAGCGGCTCTTGGAAGGACCGTTTGGAGTCGGCTCGGCGTTCACGGCGGAGAGTAGCCAGCGCATGGCTCGCTCAGGGGACCCGCAGGCAGCGTGTGGAGCAAAGCCGGTGACTGAGAACAGGTGGGAGGCGAGCTCTGGGGAAGGGCAGAGGTGCACCAGGAAGGGCCTTTTATGTGGGCGAGGGAAGGAGGTGTTAGGGACCTAGAATGCCAGGTTCTCCATCTCAGTGTCACAGAAGTGAGCAGGGAACTCAGTACGGACCAAGCAGAGTTTACTGGAAAGAGCTTGTGCAGCCTGGCCGGAGTGATTCAGTGTTAGAGTGTCAGCTGGCACACTGCACGGTCTCGGGTTTGATTTCCGGCCCTGGTTGGGGCGCCTTCTCTCTCCTCCCTCCCTTTCTCCTCCTCCTTGCCTTCCACACTCTATAGAGACATCAGTGGAAAACATCCTCAGGTGAGGATTAACAAAAGAAAAGAAAAAAGACCTTGTGCACAAGGGAGTCAACCAGAAGAGGAAGTCGAGCTCCCCAAGGGGTCCTTGTGGGTGTCTTGTAGAGGGGCCTTGGCAGGTGT